CAAACCATCAAATAACGTGAATTTGCCTAATTTATAATGTTTGGACAGGACAGGTGGTAAACTAGCTGCCAGTTCTGGGGGACTACTGTCATTTCTCAATATTTCTACCAATTTTAGTAATTCACTATTTTGGTCATAACTTTTCTGAACTAATTCATAAAAAGCATTTTCCATGTCACATACGTGAATTCCCAAAATAGGGAATATGTCTTCGTCCTCAGGATCATATGCAGGGTTATCAGGGGTATTAGGGAGTGCCCATCTGCTTAATCCATCAGCATTCATGTGTTTCTTGCCAGCTTTATGGATTATGGTCATATGCCCTCTATACTGCTGAATAGCAATTTGCCATCTTAACATGTGTCTGTTGGGAGTTTTCATATTCATTAGAGTTTTAACTGCGGTACAATCAGTGATAACTACAAAGTTAGAACCTTCTAAGTAGTAATGTAATTTGTCTAGAGCCCATACCAAAGCTAAGCATTCCATTTGGCTGGCTCCATATTTCCTCTCAGATTCTTTAATTTGTCTGGATATAAAAAAGGACTGGTTTCTTCCATGGGGTCTGTCATCTACAATAAATTCTTGATGAAGAGCAGCTCCAAGCCCATCTAAACAAGCGTCAATATAAAGTATAAATGGTTTGTCATAATCTGGGTTGGGCTAGGACTGGTGCAGAAGTGAGTAATCTTTTTAATTCTTCATAATTTTTGACTCTTTCCCAGGTCATCTCAAAAATGGTGTCATCTTTACACAGTGCGTATAAATTCTTGCTTACTATGGCAAATTGAGGAATATGTTGCCTGTAGTAACTACAAAAGCCTAGGAATGACATCATTTCTTTCAAGTTATGTAGGGAGAGCTTTGTTCATTACGGCAGCCACTTTGTTTTGATCTACAGCTAAAGTTAGGCCAGATACTATCCTACCTAGAGCTTTAAGTTCTCCGTAACCAAAATTGCACTTTTTAATGGACATCTTTAAACCAGTTTTGATGGCGGTACTAAGCACTATATTAATTTTCTCTAAGTGGGTTTCCCAGTCATTTGAATATATAATTATATCATCTATGTAAACCATCATCCAGTCTTGTCTAATAAAAGTACCAAAAATTGAGTCCATCATTCTTTGGAAATGGGAAGGGGCATTTTTGATTCCAAATGGCATTCTCAAATATTCATATATTCCCAAGTGACAAATTATTCTCAAAAATTGTCTGCTATCTGGGTCAATGGGTATCTGATGGAACCCTTTAAGAACATCCATAGTAGTGATGTATTTAGCTTTGGATAAATTATGCAATGAGTGATCAATACGTGGAATTGGGTAATAATCAGGTCTAGTATAATTATTCAGAGCCCTGAAGTCTCCAACCATTCTTGACTTCTCATTATGCCAAGCAATAATTACTGGGGTAGTAATCTCTACTTGTTCATTGTGTCCAACTTTCCTCAGCACACCTAATTCCATTAGCTCTTTAATGTGGGTTTCTAAGGCTTCTCTGGATTTAGGACTGGAAGGATAAGGGGGCCTTCTCAGGATAGGAGGATAAGGTTCTTTGACAGTTAATTCTAACTTCATGTCATGCCCTTTGATGTTACCAATAGGTTCTTCAGTAGTACAAAAGGATTCCTTATTTATGAAGCAAGTTTTAAGCACGTCTAATTTCTGTTGCTCATCTAGAATATCACTGACAGCTGCTTGAGAAAGATATTCAGCTTTGAAAGACATCATTTCTTCTTTCATTTCAACTGGCACATCAGGGAGTTTGATATTCACATTGCAAATCTGAAATTTCCTTTTCCAATCTCCTCCAATAGTATAGAATCTGTTTTTGCTTTGAAATATGTCTATCCCATACATGCAAAAAGTGTCATTTCCTAAGATCAAGTAATCACAAATGGCATCTTGAAGAACTACAAATTCTATGGATAATCTTAAAGATCCTTTGGAGTGCGGAAAGATTAATGGCATTACTACAATTCCCAAGGGTTTCATTGAAGAATTACAGCTACTAAATTTAGCTTTAGGGACAGGCAGCAAATTATTTTTCCATTCTGGATGTATTTCATCTAAGAAGTTGCTACTAGTACACGAGCAAAAAGCTCCAATATCCAATAAGGCTTTTATTGATTTTTCCTCAAATAAAACAGAGGTGTAACTAGTTTTTCCTAGAGTGTAACTCATTCCTTTTTCTGGTTTATTGGTAAGTAATTTAGCATCAGAAACATGACCAATTTTCATGGAAGAATCCCATTTCTGCGGTAAATTAGAATCTCCTTGGATGGTATTGATATGTAAATCATCACCAATATCAGCTTGGATTACCACAATTCTATGAGACTCCTCTTCTCCTGGTTCAGTAGTTATGACATCAAATTGAGATCCAGAGTCATATTCGCTGTCAGTCTCTTCATACACTTCCACATTATTGATCTTTTTGCGGGGATTAGGGCACTCAGGTCTTTTGTGGCCCTTTTCTCCACAATTGTAACACTCAGGTATGCTAGCTTTTCTTACGGGGGCTTCAGCTGTAGGTGCTTTTTCTCTGACATTATCTGGTTTGATGAATTCTCTTTTTTCAGGTACATTATTTCTGACGTATTTTTTATTCAAGTTATTCATAATAACAACTTCTTCTAATACTCCTACAAATTCAGTAAGGTCAACATCCATATCTTTTAGTCTACATCGGACTAAATGCTCAATAGTTCCCCTGCATTGAGTTAATAATCTATCATTAATCTCTTCAGCTGTGGGATTAGTGTAAATACATTCAATCCTTTTCTTTTGAATTAAGCACCATTCTCCCACAGAATGTTTGATAGGGTCAAAATAATCACTTTCAAAGGCAATTCTTTTGGCGGTTTTCCATACTCTGGTGCTGAATCTGGCAATAATTAATTCTTTCCAGGTTGCCCAGCTTTGTAAGCCTATAGATTGGCTCTTGGTAACAAACCAATCTCCTGCAATTCCCTTCATCAGCCTGGGGAGCTTTGAAGTGATCATGTCATCTGGCGCATTATAAGTTCTCAATAGATAATCTATGTACTTGATAAAACTGACGTGATCATATTCATCTTTTCCGTCAAATTCTGGCCAATCTTTTATTGGAGGCATGTATTTGTTTAGATTAGCTAATTCAACCGCAGTATAAGGAGTAGAGTTCCTTATGAAATCAGCCTCTTCATTTGAGCCTCTTTTGATTCTAGAATCAGGGGAAGAGTTTTTTAATTGTTGAGTAGTTGATGACATAAAAGGATTATTGTATTTAGGTTCTTCGGATGGCGCAGGTAAAGGATGCTCTTCTTGTTTGTTGTAAGACAAATGGGGGGCTCCTTCTTTCCCTTTTGCTATGTGTTGAGCATTCCCTTCCGGAAGGGGTTTACTTCTATAGTCTTGATGGGTAAGGCGCGCCTCAGAGAAAACTGGTTTTTCGCATTGCTCTTTAAAAGATTTGAACTCTTCTTTAATTGAATTCTGTTGCGCTATGAGTTCTTTACTCAGATTGTTAAATCTTTCTTCGCTCTGAATATTCTGGTGAATTAATAAATTCTTTATCTCCAAGATTTGAGAATCTATCTTTGTTCTCTCTATAATGTTATCTTGTTTTATAGTCGATAGAATGTAGTCCGCGCTAGAATTATGTAGGGCTGCGGAGTTCCTTGAGAACTGGGCTATCTCATTAATAGTCGCTTTATTATCTCGAGCGTTTTCTCTCAAACTCTCGACGTCCTTTTGGACTACAGTAAGTAACTCGCTGTGCTTACTGGTCATCTCAATGGGGAGCGGCTTTTCTAACAGTTTAATCATCTGATAGACTTTGGAATCGACATTTTCTTTAATTTTCTTAGTAGAGCTATCAAGACTATGTACAACTGTTTTTAGATTACTCTCACTATTGCTATCTAAGGTGGAAAGATTGGAATTGATAGATTCTAAGGAGTTTAGTATAGCTGTAATAATGACAGGACTTATTGCAAGTTCTGATATAGACCGGCCGCTATTTGAAGAAGTTCTGTCGCTCTTTTCCACTTGGCTGGATCGGCGAAGTTGTTCGAGCTCGAGCTTTGTCTTTTTCCCCCTTCGCTCCTTTTGAACTTCATTACTTGTTTCTTTGGGGGAGCTGGGAAGTGGATCTTCTTTTCGTCCCACGGATTCCATCCTTTCACGTAGCTCTCTATCTCTTCGTTGTCGATGAGCTTCTGGAGAGTCTTCTGACTCTCTTGGGCTTCGGTCAGCAAGGCTCTGAGTTTGGGAGTGGCGCCTTCGCAAGTAGCTACTTGACATTTTCTCCAGAGCGCGACGTGCTCTTTCACCCGGAGTTTGATCTGCTCCTCCTTGGAAAGGATTCGGATCTCTGGAGTGGAAGGGCGTATCTGGGTAACTTCCAACGATTCGGATTCCAGCTCGTCTAAGTCCATGGGAGTCTCTTTCTCCGTGCTCGGAGGAAGGACGTCTCTGTTCTTCTTCGATTTCTCGGCTGTAGCTGTTGTCGCCTCCTTGCGCACCAAGGTCGTCATCTGAAGGTTTTCTACTCGGGCCTGTAGCTCTTTTGCCGCCGCGAGGTCTTGTCGGAGCTGGGAGGGGCCCTTGTAGTTCGGGACGATTTGACCTAGTTATTTTTGTCATCTCGTTAATAATCTAGGAGTTTGTACCTTTTTGTTTTTTAAAAAAGAATTTAACAAGATATACTGACTAGGGGTGGTATGATCACTATCACCGTGGTCAGTATCAATAGAAGGAGTAGGGCTCGCTCTCTCTTCTCTAATTCTTCCGACTTCAAAGGTGGACACTGATCGGAAAACAGAAGAGATTAGGTCACTCGTCTGATTTCTAAAGAAGAGGAGAAGGAAGTATACGGACTTCTTTCTTGGTATCTTCTTCGATGTAAGATCGCGTTCTTAGCTCTGATGTCTCGAAGAAAATTTCTGAATTTGATCTGCTCCTCGAGATCTTCTTCTTGATGTATATGAGCGTGGTAGGTAGCGAGAAGGAGTTGTTCTTCTTTCGTCAACTTCTCCCAAGGGGTAGGTCGGTAGTTTCGGTCTGATTCTTCTTTGCGCAATCTAAGGTGGAGAAGATAACGCTGGATTAATTCCGCGTTCTCTTGGAGGTTCACTAAAATAAATGTGAAAGAAAAAAGGAGGAGTATTTTTTAGGATGTTTGTTCGTGGATAGAATTTTAAGAGATGGAGCGGTAAAAAATGAGATGTAATTTTTATAAGGGTTTAGGTTTTTTTTTGTGAAAAAAATGTACAGGTATTTTTTTTTCTTTTTATTCTTATTTTAAGGCAATGAAAGAGATGACCGTGAAAAAATGGATATGTATTTTTATTGGCTTTTAATTAATTTTTGTGAGAAAAAAAATAAGAATAAAACCAGGGTATTTATTTTATTAAAAAAGGTATTTTTAATAAAATTTTCCCGGCCAGACCCCCAATTGTCAGCCTATGTGATGCCAAGACAAGTGTCTTCTAGCTACACAAGGTGCAAAATATGAGAGTTTTTATGGAAAAAACTCTGGGATAAAACTGGTACAGGTAATTCAAAAGAATTACGTAGAATTTATGGATTAAATCCAAAAAGTGGCCAATTTATATTAATAAAATTAATATAAATAAAACCAGAGGGGCCTGATAAATCAGGGGTGGTTTAATCCCTCTAAGGTATCGTGCAAAAAGCAGAGGATTTAGGTACCTGATACACTGGGGCCTGTAACAGGTGTGGTTTAAATCCCAGGAGATAATTTTAAGGGGAAAATCTTCAAGAAAGGGTTATTACTTACTAGTAATAATCCTAAGGGGTCTTGAGGATCTTCTTAGTAGAAACTGGACAGTTGGGAGCGCTCAGAAAGGTTGATTTTGGGTGCTGGATGATCACTGGGGAGTTTCTTGAGGGTTCTTGAGGCTTAATAACAGCAAAAATAGTAATAACTAGGCTAATTACAAGTGTAGGGGACTTGTAAATGGTAAGTATGTTTCTATCTAGTATTGTAAAGCTGGGGGATCATTATTTGGGCGGTCAGAAGGCCCTTTAAATACCTGTGGAAGGCCTCAGGGGTTGCTCAGGGGAGCTTAGTAGGACTTGGGGGCGCTTTTGGGCCCATTTTGGCCCACATGGTGCTGTAACTAGGGCTGGAACCTTGGGGATAATATTCCAGAAGCTCCAAGGGGTCATGCACGAAATTATTACAGCCAAGAATGTCCCATGGGAACCTGTGGATAGGGGCTACTCTGTTACATGGAGCAGGTTCCTTGGAAATGGGCCACAGAATATTCCAGAGGTGTCTTCTGAGGCTTGCTACACGTGTTACCCACTGGAATATGGTTACTGTAGTATTTTCATGGATGTTCTAGCTTGTTCACATTCTTATTACACGTGTGGGGGCTTTGTTGCCACGTGCAATGGGGATTCTGGGGCTTTTGTGGCCCAATCCTTGGATACTGGTGCGCAGCATGACTACGTGGCATATGGGCTTGGAGACAGGGCTCCACGCTGCTCTATCTTCTAAACCGTGCACAATACTCCAATTCTGAGACTGGATTTGGAGTATATGCACTATGCATTATGCAGCAGTGTCACAGTACTCGTGATCTGGGGGTACTTGTTAATTATTCATGCTTGTATTACATGGTGAAGGAGTTAGAATTTGGGGTACCTTTGGCTGAGGTACCCTAGGTTAAATTGTATGCTGATCCAGAATCTGCAATAATATTTAAATTTTTGTTTATACTTTTTAAGTTATTCATTTATTTTTATGTATTTGTTATCTTATTTACATAAGTAATATTGTTCCTTTTACTTATGTAATGTTTTTAATTTATACTTAGATTTTTTATGCAATTTATTATTTTTATTTGCTGTGACAGGTTGTCTCTGCCATAGTAGCAAGCTGACAAAACTCCCCTGGTGTATCTGTTTGCAATGGTGGGTATCCACCAGCGGATAGGGGGTATCCGCCAGCGGATAGGGGGTGTCC